GGGGGGCGGGGAGAGAGACTGGACCCTTAAATTTAGTATTTTCAACCAGTGAATTTGCTAAACTGTTCCTATTTTCTAAGATATAATGATTTCATCTGATAGAACAACTCAGATTATGTCATTTAAAAGGATTATTTTGACTCTAGGGGGTGTATAAACACATTTTATTAACGTTTTAATTTTGAGCTTGTTGCAGAATCTCCCCAATGGAAATTTCAAAAAGTTGGCATGTACGGCATGCGATTCGCCCTCGACAATTTGACACATAGTGAACAAAGGTTCATAACTCTGTATCAAGTGGGACACTGGTCTCAATTTCTGTAGGTGACACTCCACCCTTCTACACAATTACAGGATATGGGATATGCCCTTCTGCTAGTAACAGTAGAAGACTGACAAACATGTCTGTGGTGCATATTTAGTTCCCTACACTAGTACCAGTGGGGGACTAACAAACATCTCTGTGATAAAGATTTAGTTCCCTCTCCTGTAAGTACCAGTGGGGACTAAAAAGCATCTCTGTAATACAGATTTAGTTCCCTAGAAGTGAGTAGTCCACCAGTACATGTTGTAACCGTTGGGGACTAACAAACATTTCTGTGATACAGTTTTAGTTCCCTCTCCTATAAAGTACTAACAAACATTTCTGTGATACAGATTTAGTTCCCTACTTTGTAAATACTAGTGAAGGACTAACAAGCATTTCTGTGATACAGATTTAGTTCCCTCCACCTGTTCATATTGTACCCGTGGGGGACTAACAAACATTTCTGTGATACAGATTTAGTTCCCTCCCTCCCCTGTAAATACTAGTTGGTGACTAACAAACATGTCTGTGTTACAGATTTAGTTCCCTCCCTCCCCTGTAAATACTAGTTGGGGACTAACAAACATTTTTGTGATACAGGTTTAGTTCCCTCCCTCCCTCCCCTGTAATTACCAGTGGGGGACTAACAAACATGTATGTGTTACAGATTTAGTTCCCTACCCTTAAAGTACCAGTGGGGGACTAACAAACATTTCTGTGATACAAATTTAGTTCCCTCTCCTGTAAGTATCCGTCGGGGACTAACAAGCATTGCTCTGATGAATTTCTTTTATACCTTTCTTCCTCCTTCTCCAATTCTTTTGCAGTCTCTTTCTCAGCTTCTATTTGTCTAGCCATTTCCTTCCTCTCTTGTTCTACTTTCTCCAGTTCCTGTCTTAACGCTTCCTTCTCCGCAGCCAACTGTCATCATAAAATCGCCATTGAGAATATTACACACACATTTCAGTTTAAAGTTTTCACAAAATCAAACAACTGCTGTTTACTGCAGCAGCTAGGACATTTAAAAAGTTCAAGATATTTTAATTTGTTCAAATTCTTATTATTGGTATCCATTATCACAGCAGTGATCTGTATCACCTTATAGGGTTTCAGGTTCTCAGCTAAAACAAAAGTTACCATAGTGTCAAAGGGTATAAAAATATTAAGAGACACATATGATCAGTGAGTGATCGCCAATGAGTTACAGGGAATCACATGATTTAACATGGTTGGAATTTTATAATCCTCAGTCTAAAATTGCAAGTATCTAAAACATCAACTAGCAAAGTTTAATTATAAACTAGCAAAAATTACAAACTGCAAACTAAATAATACAAAATGACAAGTCAAATAGGTTTTTCTGTTTTAATTTACTTGCAATGCTTTGACAATAAGTCAATGGAAGTTGACACAAAGCCCTGAGTGACAATGCATTTTTGTAACTGAAATTACATATTATAAAAAATAACTGGTATATTTTCAGCATAAAGCCTAAAACACTATTGCACGTATCTCTGATCATCGTCAGTAAAACTATCGCCACACCTGATGACACTAGCTTACAGCCAACACTGAAACTTATCAATTTTCAAAGAAAAGGTGAGAAAAAAGTTACTTGCAGATGTTTTCAAGCTGTCACTATTTTGACTCCCATTTATATCAATGTAACTCCCATTTATATCAATGTAACTCACATTTATATCAATGTAACTCACATGTATATCAATGTAACTCATATTTATATCAATGTAACTCATATTCATATCAATGTTACTCACATTTATATCAATGTAACTCACAATTATATCAATGTAACTCACATTTATATCAATATAACACACATTTATATCAATGTTACTCACATTTATATCAATGTTACTCACATTTATATCAATTATCTCATATTTATATCAATATAACTCACATTTAAATCAATATAACTCATATTTATATCAATGTAACTCACTTTTATATCAATATAACTCAGTAACTCATATTTATATCAATAAAACTCACATTTATATCAATGTAACTCACATTCATATCAATGTTACTCACATTTATATTATCAATGTTACTCACATTTATATCAATATAACTCACATTTATATCAATATAACTCATATTTATATCAATGTAACTCACATTTATGTCAATATAACTCATATTTATATCAATGTAACTCACATTTATATCAATGTAACTCACATTTATATCAATATAACACACATTTATATCAATTTTACTCACATTTATATCAATGTTACTCACATTTATATCAATATAACTCAGTAACTCACATTTATATCAATATAACTCACATTTAAATCGATATAACTCATATTTATATCAATGTAACTCGCATTTATATCAATGTAACTCACATTTATGTCAATATAACTCATATTTATATCAATGTAACTAACATTTATGTCAATATAACTCATATTTATATCAAGGTAACTCACATTTATATCAATGTAACTCACATTTATATCAATATTACTCACATTTATATCAATATAACTCACATTTATATCAATATTATTCACATTTATATCAATATAACTCACATTTATATCAATATAACTCATATTTATATCAATGTAACTCACTTTTATATCAATATAACTCAGTAACTCATATTTATATCAATATAACTCACATTTATATCAATGTAACTCACATTCATATCAATGTTACTCACATTTATATTATCAATGTTACTCACATTTATATCAATATAACTCACTTTTATATCAATATAACTCATATTTATATCAATGTTACTCACATTTATATCAATATAACTCAGTAACTCACATTTATATCAATGTAACTCACATTTATATCAATGTTACTCATATTTATATCAATATAACTCAGTAACTCACATTTATATCAATGTAACTCACATTTATATCAATGTAACTCATATTTATATCAATGTAACTCATATTTATATCAACATAACTCATATTTATATCAATGTAACTCATATTAATATAAATGTAACTCACATTTGGTTTTTGAGTTAATTTTGAACCCTGATCCCATTAGAAAATAACTACAATTTCATTACTGATGGTTACACTACCTTGTGGGACTTAAACACTTCATTAAACAAAGAAAACTAGGGCCCAGTCATGCATGTACCGTACCCCCATAACCTATAATTACTAACAGTAACATAAGGAAAGTGTGGAGGGATGGACATGACACCATGCTAACTATAAGCCACTTTAATTATAAGCTTAAAACTTGTTTTATTTATATGTTAACAGGTAATTATGGAGGCACGTTAGTCTAGTGGTAGGACACCGGGCTCATGACCGAAGGGTTGTGGGTTCGAGTCACGTCACGGCACTGTGTTGTATCTTTGAGCAAGATATTTTACTCCGCTTGGTCCAGTCTACTCAGCTGCAAATGAGTACGTGGTTGGGCAGTGCTAGAATTGTTTAATGCTAACTGTGAGCGCCAAAATGGCAGCACAGGCTGTAATGCTCCTCAGGGAGTTGAGAAAGATATTGGCTGGTTGCAAAGGCCCTATAACCACAGATAATAATTTGTGAACCGCTTTGAGACGACCTACGAACTAGGTTGTGATAAAGCGGTATATAAGAACTTCAAATTATTATTATTATTATTATTATTATATTCATATGTTAATAACAGGTAATCATACTGATAATAGCAATACCTGTTTCAGTTCATCATCCAGTCCTGTTTCCTCTGGGCTGTCGTCTGATGTACTCAGATTTTCAAGAAACTCTCTTCAAAAATACAACAAAATATAGATGTAATAAATATAGCACAATCACTATATGTTCCCTATATATTCAGTAACATTTATAACAATTTTACCAGTAATGTGTTTTTGTCATAATGGTAAAAACAGAATTGCGATTTCTAGTAAATGTGAAAAGAAGCATTTCTTTTATTTTTACAATAAAACTGGCTGATATCAGAGAGAAGAATTTTTCTGTTGAAGTAACAACATTGAGTGTGTTACTGCATTACAGTACATCAGGAAATGTTCACCCTGTCAAATGTTGGCCCTTCTTCAGTTAATTATGTGGTTTACTAATGTTTGCAGTAATGCAGTAAATTCGCCCTCATCTCGGAGGGTGAAAAAGGCAAAAATTAAACTGCAGGGAATATTTCCCAGTGTATAGTTTTTCTAATTGCCTGGGACAATAAAAAGGTGATCAATTCAGCATTGATGACCAAATTGTTCCGTCATTTCAGTAACATGGATACATTACCTGTAATCTTTACACTCATCCTCGGTAATCTTCAGCTGATGGTCAAGTTGATCCAGCAGGTTGTCGGTACATTCCTGTAATTACATCAATATGGTAATATTCCTCCCCGTCCCAGGCTCATATATATTCATAAAAACCATTCTCATACACACAAGCAAGAATTCTGTACTCAAACCAACTCTTTTAAACCTTTCACCCCTATGTAACTTAAGTAGACTCTACCATGCATTGATCTGGTCAGTCCATTATGCTCTAGAATGGTGAGAGGGTTAAACTTGCAGGAAACTGTATGACAAAATAAAAATTAAAGTGTATAGACAGAGAAAATGATTTTGCCTCCAGGTTTCTTTAACATTCCTCCAAATTATTAAAAAAACAACACCAGAGTTTTGAATTATTTCTTCCTTGAACTTGGAAATGGCCTGGAGTACAGTGAGACTAAACATGACAATGCCCCGAACTCATCACAGTTAAAAAACAAAGTCATTGGGCTAGGGTTACGATTACATCATGATATTTACCCTTCCAAACATTTCTTGTAGTTTTTGAAAACGAAAATTCATCAACCCCCAAAGCTACATTTCCCCATCAATCATATACTGGGACCCCTGAGGTGTTGTATCATATCAAACAAACATACAGAAAAGGGTTGCAAAGTTTTCATCAAATGACATGTTTGGATATATATATGAATTAAAGGGAAAATGTCTGTTTATGGTGGTCGCTGATTGATCTCAACCTCGACGATATATCATCACAGTCATGTCTGGATTAGGTTTCTTAACAAACATCTAGCTTTAATGTGTCTGTATAACCATTAATACAAACTTACACTTGACGTATAACAAGCCATTCGGAAAGATATGTCTCGCCTATGCCCCGCTTTGACCATCAATGCACATATCAGAGAAACTAACTTGAACACAAAAATGTAATGTTGACGCCATCGCCGGAAAACCAAAACCTAAGTGTCGCTTCCACTTCGTGGAGGTGAGACAAAAACTATTGTATAAACGGTAATTTTCAGGATTGGTGGGCTTGAATAAGAGATGAGAAATTGTTTTATGATAAAAATGAAGTATTTATTGTCAATATAACTATTGGATACATTTGTATTTTAATTGAAAATTTAATAAAACCTGGCAATATGCAGTGGTAAAAGAATACAAGAGGCCCAAGGGCCTTAGCGGTCACCTGAGTTATATCATAGGTACTGGTAGCTTTATTTTATTGTTTAGATGTGATGTGGAAATCAGCATGTAAACTAAGTGAAATACAATACTTGTCATGTCATCAATGGATAAGAATTTGAAAATATTGGTAAATGTTCCCTTTGGGGCCCCGCCCTAGCCCCTGGGGATGGGGCAGGAATCC